GAGAGAGAGAGAGAGAGAGAGAGAGAGAGAGAGAGAGAGAGAGAGGTGTAAGGGCGATGGCGGCGGCGCTCACCGTCATCGCAGCGGCCGGAAGTTTGCTTCAGGTCGCACGTCGGATTTGCACGGGTACCGGTCGCCCGTCCACGCGGTCGCTGCCTCCGAAAACCAGCCCCGGACGACCTTTGGTCCGACGGTCGCCCGCCACGCTGCTGCCGGTAGCGTTTCCACTTCCGGTCTGCCTCCGTTGGACTGGAAATGGACCGACATCCGCCTTTCCCCGTTTTTTTTTTTTTTTTTTCGAGAAACTCATCTTTTCCCGAACCTGCCTAACGTCCGAAGTCTGCGGGGAAAATGGGAAAACTGCCAGTTTTCCCTAATTTCCAAACAGTGACACAGGTACTAGTGGTTTAATAAGCCCTGCCAAAGAGGCAGGGCAGTCCGTTCTAGATTTCGTTACTTGGTCGTTCTAGATTTCGTTACTTGGTGGATAGAAGATTTTCAGTATTTTACTTAGTGTTGTGCAGTTATCTCACTGGGTGGAGCCCTCCTTTAATCACAGAGTATATGGAGGGTGTCAGGATCAGTGCGGACAGAAGTCAAGTCTATTCCAGAAAATGTGGCGGTTACTTTGTTCACTGTTGTTGCAACCACCACCATCAGATCATTTGTGATCCGATGGCTGGGAAGCACTCTGCCGTGATTTCGGGTGGGAGGTCTCTGTTTCTTCTTTTTTTTTTTGCCTTTCTCCTGTTTTCTCAGCCCAGAAATTTGTAATGAACCTGTCTGGCCGCTGCCACTCAGTGTCACACTGGATCGGCCACACTCCTATCCGACTGCTAATGGGACCTCGCCCCTGGCCCTCCGAGGTGGATGACTGGACTGCAGCTACAAACTCTGCCTTGCGCCAGCCACACAATGGAGGAGTTTGGCCTTTCGACATGGGTGGAAACCGCCAGCCTGCAACGGGCCGAGTTTCAACATCTCGGAATGGAGGAGTGAAAGAAGCGCCACTTTTGACATTTGTCAGGGTCGGGGTACTGGGACGCCTTCGCCTTCGCTTCCTTGAGTTTTAAAGCAGTGTCGAAAAACGCAGCCTTGGAGGTGAGCAAAAAATAAGAAAATAAAACTAAAAAAAGAATTAAAAAACTTTGTCCGTGTATCTTTCCACGTTGCAGGCCAAATTCAGTCGCATATTCAACGTCTTGAGAGCCGCGAGGCCCATTGCTCTCCCGACATTGGAACCTCGGGGACTGAGGCTTCGACAAATTCCCCGCCTCCGCCCCACAGCAATGTCAAACGAGGAGCAACGGGTGCAGTGCCTCGACATCCCTTGTGTTCGACATTGGCTGTGTGGCGAAGGCTGGGAATTTGGGCGTTGTTTGACACTCCTCTGAGCGTCCTCGGGCTCCGAGGACGAATCCTCGGAGTTTTTTTTTTTTTTTGGAGGTGTCGTTCCACCTGTCCTCGGAGAATCGCCCCGAGGCCCTCCCGCGGCCAGTTTCATGATAATATAGACGGCCGTGAGGGGATTGTCTGACCTCCAATTCGGGATGTCCGTGTACGAGGCGCGCTGGTCCAGCAGCTGGCGGCGGCAATACGTCACGGGCCCTGGAAAAGAAAATCTCAAACGCGGGAACGGCCCCGTTCGAAATTCGAAATTCGAATTCTCTTCGTGCGGAGCGACGGTGTAGCGGCGCACAGGCGGAACAGCATTTCGTCTGAGGGACCAGCGCGCAGGGTTGACGTCGCGTTGCGTACTTCAGCAGCGCCGCGCCGCTACTGTCTGGAGTGTGGTCGTCGCGGGCAAAACGAGGAGGGCTGTCGGCAGTTGCGCTCGCCACGTGGATGCGCGCGGCGGTTACGTACTTCAGCGGCGGAGGGCGGACGCTACAATCGGGGTGGAAGTTTTTTCAGCACGGTTGTCTTCCACACCTCGTTGTAGGCGTCTTCAATCGTCGCCGTCGTCGTTGGTTCACGCAGCTGGGTGGCGGTGGACGTTCTTCTTCCTCTTCGAGGGGTGCAATGGAGGGTTGCGATGGGGATGGTCGTGCTGTGCTGCCGACAATGGAGAAGACAGCTGTCGCGACGACTGCGGTTGCCGTTGTCCGTCGATTCCAAGTAGAGAGGGCGGCCGGGCGCATGAAGGCAGCGCTTTCGAGGCGGCGGCAGAGGCTTCTGCTGTAGAGGGTGTTGGACGCCCCGGACTGCATAACGACTTCGGAGGCCGTGGTTTAGTTGTGCGCTGCAATCGGCTGCGGTGTGCTTCCTCGGGCGACGCCACGTTGGTGGATGAGGCAGAGAACTGGCGGGACTTGGCAGGATTTGCGGGTGTGCGATGACGCGACGGACGACTACTTCCGGGAAAAGCTCCGCATGTCCAGGAGAATGTTCATGGAGATCACCGAAGGCTGTGCGCCTCATTTGCAACGACAGGTCACGTTTTACAGGGAGCCACTTCAGCCGGAGCAGATCGTCGCCTACGCGCTGTATAGGTGGGCAACAGGAGAGTCATACGACAATAGCACATCATCGTTCCGCATGGGCAGGGGATCCGGAGTTCGAGCCATGCGCGATGTGACAACTGCTATGTTGAGGGTGTACGGGGACAAGATATCGTGGGCGACGGGGGTGCGGAAACACGTGGTGCTAGGGGCGTTTCTGGACAAGGGCTTTTCCAACAGCCATGGCGCAGTTGACTGCACACACATCTACGTGGGCAAACCGGCGAACGCGCCGAGCGAGAACTACTTCGACCGCAAGCACTGTTTCTCCGTCATTGCGCAGGTGGTAGTGGACCTGGATCTGCGCGTGCTTGACGTGTTCGTTGGCTATCCGGGCAGCTGCCACGACATTTGGGTGATCCATCTGTCAAGTCTGTCGAGGCACGCGGAAGAGGGAACGATGTTTCGTGGACCGCCTGTCATGCTGCCGGGAGGTGTGAGGACGAACGGATACATTTTGGGCGACAACGGGTATCCTCCTTCTGAATGGACAGTGGTGCCATACGAAGGAATCAATCAGCACCCAGACGAGGAAAGTTTTGACACGAAAGAGAAGGTCGCAAGAGGGGCTGTGGAGAGGGCGTTCGGGAGGTTGAAGGGGATGTGGAGGCTCTCTCTGCGGTCGCACAAGACGAACCTCTCTACCGCAGCAGTTCACGGTCGTCTACATTCTCCACAACATCCTGCTCGATGCGGGTATCGAGTTTGACGAGAATTTGTTGCGGGAGGTCGACGAGAAGGGGGTAAACGCCGAGTGGACCTGGGGATTGATCGTCCCCCGCAGCCAGTGACGATGTTGACTTCGACGCACGCCACACACACGCTCCGCAATGCGCTGGCGAAGCGAATGAAACACATGTGATCCTGCCTAACGTGTGCCTCTCCCTCGCATACAGAAACAGAAGTCTTGTTCCGTTGTCGTCGATTCACACCCTTCTTGCCCTTCCGCCCCGCGCGCGGTTCTGTAAACTTTTTCGTACCCCTTGACCCTCCACGCTTCCTCCCTACTGGACGAATCTCCATCTCCCCGTCGTCGTCCTCGTCGTTGTCATTGGCCCCGTCGTCTACCGCGCAATCTTTGGCCCCTGCACCATCGCAATCGCCGAATATATCGTCCGCCCCCACTTTAATCTTCGCCACCCCTCTCGTTATGCCGACCGTGCTCGCTTGACGCGATTGTCACCGATGATCGTCCCAAACCTTTCGACCCACGACCCCCGTTGCTGACCACTCATCGTCGTCCCCTCCTCCGTCGATTGTGCCACCCGGCGTCATCGATCTATAGGGACCCGATCCAGCAGTCCACGTCCTGACTGAAGGGTTTACGCGAGTGTCTGGAGGCAGCTGCCCATCGCCGAGTAGAATTTTTTTTAATTCATTTGTTGGCCATTTAGTTGGCCACTTTGCGTTGGCGCGAAGCTTCAATACTATGTTTTTTTTAGGGGGGGGGGGGGG